GTGGTGGTGGTGGTGGTGGAGGCAGCAGCGGCGATGTGGTGGCGGATTTCATGGCCATGCTTGTCGTTTTTTTTGTCGTCGGTGCTGGCCCTTGCTCCTTGCGAAGCTATTCATTTGCTTTCTGATTCTGAGTGGCTTCAACATGTCGCAGTCAGCGCAAACTCCTGGCTGTGTGGCAGACTCAAACAGGAGACGGACGACTTTGATTTGTATCCCATGGATGCTGGTTCAGAGTTGGGCAACGAGTCTGGGAGTTCACGACCTCTCACCGCTGAGGCACTACTTAGTGGCTTATTCAGAGTGGATGTCTCGCAGGGTAGATCCGCTGAGCCGACGCCAGCACAATCATGTCTGACTTGCAGGCACAGGACCAGGTGGATGTGGGATACGTGTTCAACACCCCGCTCACGTCAGCCAAGATGGGCACAGCGGCTCGAACACCCCCTCGAACGCCGCCAAAGACTCCGCCCAAAACACCCCCAAAAACTCCGCAGACACTTCGCGCAGCTTGGCAAATGGTTGGCAGACGTGAAGGGAACGTAGCATGGCCTGGTCTTGTGCAACATGACCAGGGTACAGGTTGCGCAAGGAGATTTACAACTGCTGGCTTCACGGGATGCAGGCAAGACTGATGTTCAAGAGCGAGGATGAAGTGCTTCACTACAACATCTCATCTCAGGAGCACTGCGAAGCACTGGGGGAGTTTTGATCAGCAGCTACATTACTACATGGTCTGATTTGTTAGTTTGTTGGCTCCAGCATGCTCCAGCGCACCAGGACAATCAAGGCAATGCCTTCCCAAAGCCGCACGTGGTGAGGAGGCGGTCCAAGAAGAACACCGAATCTTGGCCAGTGGCACAGGCATTGGATTGATTGAAAAAGCACGGGTTCGGGCTCAACCCAACTCAGGAGGTGCAAGAGGCCTGGGGCAGCCCTGACTCTCCGGATGAATTCGGGCCAACCCAGAAGAAGCGGCGCTCTAGGAGCCAAGACTAGGCTTGTAGCGCATGACGTCCATCCGTAGCCACACGATAGCACAGGAGGTCTCGCCGAAGCCTCCGTGTCCCATCCAGAAAAAGCAAAGGCCAGAACATAGTTCTTGTCCACAGACAGATGCGCTGCCAGCTGCACAGCTCCACTGGCAAGGTCTCCTCAGCTCGGTCTTCCAACGCCGGCAGGTGCACGGTCTTGTAAGGTGATTAACGTTTGGACACTTGGCATATGCAGTTGCCAAGGCTGTGGGGAACGTATTAGAAGAACCGCCGTCAAGCTCACCTAGTGTATCGCCACGGCCCTCGTCCTCGCCAAAGTCCCTGTCGCGTCGCAGCTTGTCAACATGTTTGCTACTCTGCATCGTACCGGGTTGCACCCGACTGCCACTTGTTCTGGCAAGGCTCAAGCAGGCACTCCCTGCCGCTCAACAGCAAATGCAGAGATGTAATTGATGTAAAACTAAGCCACCAAAGAACTGTCTGCTTGAAAGTGTGCGAGTAAGAATCGGTGAAGATAGCTGCTTGCCCCATTTTCGAGCAATTTGCTTTGTGACTTTGCTGAGGAATTCGCAGAGCTCGGGTTTGAGCCGCTTGAGCCGCCTCTCAGCAGCAGATAGGATAAGGCTCAGCTTTGATTCAGCATGGTTTGTTTCAGAGACCAATGCTCAGGTCGTTCCAGCTCCCGGTCTCTTAACAGGAAAAAGAGAGGCTTCTGGGCGACACTTCTTGGCCGACAGGGCAGCGCAAGCAGCCTCAACAGCAAGGAGCCAGTGCAAGTCCTTTGATACTGTGTTGCCGTCAGCGCAGTCAGACCTCGCAATTTGCAGGACCAAGCGCACCTTGACTGTTTCGCAAGGATGGGAAAGGCGTTGGGGCCAGTAGAGTCATGCAGGCGGCATGGTTGCGGCTGAGGTATGACCCGAGCTCGTACGAAGAAGCAGCGCTGAGAGCAAGCGCTGCCGGTGCTGGCGTGATCTCCAGTTGCTCAGCCGGCTGGTGCCCGTATGCCATGAAGTTTCTGACACATTCCGCGTAGCCTGAACTACATGGGCGTAGACAAGGGTGCTTGTGGCAATGCTCAGGTTTCTCACCGATGCAGGTGCGTGATTTGAGGGCTCCAGAGCTGCTCACGCCCGTGGAGACTTCCCAAGTCTTCAGCTTGCCAGGACGGACGTGTATGTTGCGTGCAAGCTTTAATGATGGTATGGCTTTTCCAGTGCTAACTGCATCAACTGAGACCAACATACTCCTGAAGGCAGCACAGAGGTGGTGAGGGACTTGAGCCCGCGGTTTGGCCAAGGCGCCATTTTGAGAGGGCTTCGGGCAGATCATTAAGGTGGACAGTCTGACGGGCTGCAGGCTCTGCCATGAGTTCCGCGAACTGGAGCTGGAGCAAGAATTCAGGCCTCGCTGCCCCAGTAGCGTTTGGGACCCAACATGTCAACATGGCCTGACCGATACGTCGTTTCTTGTTGGGCTTTGTCGAATTGTGACGTCTGACATGGAAATTGGACAACAGTTGGGCTGGCATGGAATATGCTCTAGAAGGGCATCATGGGAGCAGCAACTTGGCAACAGCGACTGCACGTCTACTTCACAGGCTTGGATAGAAGCTCTTCGGCCACAAGCTGCAGCAAGACCTCTATGTCTGTGACAGGACCCTCTCGACGAGCTTTGTGCCGTTGCTGTCATCTGACTTGCCTTCACCTTGCTATAGAGTATCTGGTCTTGCAGCCTTGCATCAGGCTTCATGGAGAAGACTGTGTCGCTGACCAGCCTCAGTCAAGATGAGCAAGGGCACTGGGCCGTGCAATCCCCAGGGATGCAAGCGGAACTCTCCGATGGTGCCAGCACTCTTTCTGAGCGGCGCTCGTAGCTTACCCCGCAAGGCGATATGCTTCGGCAGAAGCCCCGAGACTAGAAGTTGTAGGAGCCTCGACTAGCGGCTAGCGGAGGGCTGGCCATCTTGAATTATCAGATCGATTAATCTATTCAAGTTTCCATCCCTGATAGCTGTAGCTTCAGATGCTTAAGGGCCAGTCGAAGTCTTTGGTGCCGCTGGGCTATTGGACAACTACACTGCGCAGGATCACAGTTACCTCCTCCGAAGGAGTGAGGGAGTTAGAAATTAGACCAAGAACAAAAGACCGGTGCAATCCTTGTTGCCGCATGCCTTCTATCAAAAAGATTTTACCTCAAAGAAAGCCCATGACAGGCATGACATTGTGGATGTGGAGAGCACGCCAACGCAACTTGAAGCAACATTTTGCTTGCCCGGAGTATGGCCCCATGTAGCTGCAGCATCATTTATCTGAGGTCGAGCATGGAATTGGGTGTCCTGGGCTTCAAGGCACCAGTGCGAGGAGCGATGGCATTTGGCCTGAGACCTGGGACGGCCACAGGGAAACTGTGCTGGAGCTGCAAAGAATCACTTTCTTGCGGATGCGTGGCCGATGCAATGGCTCAAGGTCAATCGACTTTATTCGAGCGCTCACATGATCGCGCAGCAGAAGGTCAAAGGTCAAGATCTGGACAGACCCTCTGGAGAGGGTTGGTTTCAACCCACTGCTTGTTGAACCCAGTCATCTTCGAAGCACTCCCCCGAGGCTCAGCCAGTCCTGTGAAGAATGCACAAGGTGAGTACATCCCACCGTCACGGCCTCCATGTAACTGGACATACCAAATTCTGTGTTCTTGCGTCTCCAGGCATGCTAGACCCCTGCCAAAGGGGGAGCGGTACGACCCATCACAGGACTTTTGCAGCTGATGCGTGGAACGTCTTCGGGTTATGTCGCGACGAGGAGCAAAACTACCTCCAACAGCTACAACAGATGCTTGGTGGAACTTCCATTGGCCAGTTGGAGGTGCCCTAAGCTCACCCTGCCACCCTGCTGAGGATCAGCCAATCAAGGGAGACAGCAACGCAGCCAGGTGCTAATTGTTTTCTAGAGAGAGGGAAGCGAGGTTCTGCCAGATGCTTTGTGCCTGAGCTGAGGAAGAGTGAGAGCGTGCGGAAATTTAAGCAGGCTGTCGACCTGATCAGGAAGGCACCCGTTGGCTGTACAGGGCCTCTGTAAGTGCTTCATAAGCCAGGGATATGAGGTAAGATGATGGCTTAATTCGCCGCTTGCTCCAATCGCCTTGATGGACTGTCTTGACCGGCAGGCAAAGCCTGAGACACGTGCAAGCCTGCATTGAGCCCAAATCAACAGATTCGGCTTTGCTGAGGATGATTTTCTAGTTAGCTTCCTGCTCGGTCGGCTGCTTGAACTTAGGCGAGGAGATGGTTTAGAAGCCGCTGCTGCTGGTGCATCAATGTGTGGAGCTCTGATCCACTCATGAAACGATGAAGCTTTAAGAAGCTCGATGGCTCCTGAGGGCATCTGAATCTTCAGGATCATTGGGGCAGTGCGCCTGGAGAAATGCCCGTAGGGTTGACAGAGTCTTGATTCATTTGAGGAAGCCCTCTGCGCTGGCTCGTTTCCGCCACACGGTCAACGCAGCCGATGCCTTTAGCTGGCCATCTGGGTTGGACGGTCAAGTGGCTCTGGTTTCAGCTGAGGTGCAGCGGACGCTTAAAGACACCATCGCTACAGATGGAGAGCCAAAGTGTAGGGCCAAGCTTTGTTTCCTGCAGAGGTTCGTTCTCCCTTTGCATGATGCCAGTGTTCTGACTAAGTCGTCGGACGAGCTCCAGCACGTCCTTGCCTCGGTCCGTCTCACTGTGTTGTGGCTGCCAGCCGCCCTGCCACTTCAGACTGGGGCCCAAGCTGAAAGCCTCGCGGCCGACCTTGGCTAAATCAACTAGTCAGGATAGGCCCGGATCTTGTGTTGGTGCAGCATGTGCAATTGATTTGATTTTTGGCATTACACATCTGCTTTGCCCCAAGGTTGAGTGAGGCCCGCTCCAGCCCTAGGCCAAGCCCCAGGCCGAGCCCAAGGCCGAGTTTTCAAACAGCGCCGAGGCCTCAGCCAAGTACATTGGATTTTCAAGGCCTCGACAATTCGCACTCGCAGTCCAGGCGCGAAGAACTTCATCACCGCCATGTTCCAACACCTGCCACGGCGCTGCTGGCCCAGAGGGCTGGGGTTTCATGCATCTTCTCTTGCGTCAACGTGTTCCCATCATGTTGTTTTCTTGTGTGACTTGTGGACACCGGCCAAGCCGAAGACAAGCGACGGGCGCATGGTGGAGCTGGGCTCGTGGCAGCAAAGGTCAGAAGAATCCGCGCCTTCTCGCAGAGCTTCGAGCAATGCGTGCTGAGCTGAGGGCTGTACTGTGCCAGAGTTTTTGTGCACCAACGGATGCCAGGCCCTGGCGCATACTCAGGAGTAAGAGTTTTAGTCAGGAGCATGACAAGAAACGTGGCACAGCGGTGGGGAACCTTCAAAAAGAGTCATACGAAGCTATTCAATGTAGATTCTTGCCTCACACTTTTGATCCATTAATACCAAAGACTCAGACAGACCCGCTACCACCAAACTTGTGTGATCGCAGCTTGTGCACGCAAACCCGTCAAGCGACAGGGCATCAGACCCTGCGCGGCGTTCGTTCCCGGATGCTTTGCAGGTTGGGTGAGCCTCGCTTGAGC